CCCCCCCTCGCCCCCCTCTCCTTGGCCCCCCCCCCCCCCACATCATCTTTCACTTTTGTCCTTTGCATCCCCCCACCCTGTCTTGCTCCTGCCTCTTTTTCTCTTGGACCTTACCTGGGAGCGAGCCCCACTGCTCGCTTCCCCAGTCAAGGGGGGCCCCCTCTCCTTATCTCTCCCAATCCGGTCTGCTCCATCCCCCTCTCCCGCATTATCTCCTTCTCTCCCTCTCTCTCCCCTTTTTTCACTGCTGTAGTTCAGAGCCCGTTTTTCACGCCTCCTCCTCCTCCTCCTCCTCTTCCCTCTCTCCTTTCTTTCTTTCCATCCATCCATCCATTCTCTCTCTCTCTCTCTCTTTCCTTCCTCCTTTTACACTTTCTCTCTCACACACACCCCCAATGCCTTTGTGTCTCCGGCTCCCTCATAATAAATATGCAGCAGCCGCCTAATTACGTCTCCCGCCTCCTTTTCTCCTTAATGAGACAATTTGCATCGACTAACCACCCTCCGAAAGGGGGGGAAGGGAAGCGAGGGGGGGGGAGCAGGAAGGGCGAGAGTATTTCTCTCTCCCCCCCCCCTTCTATTCTTTCCTCCATCAAGTACAGGAATGAACAGAAAATACTAAATGTTAACCAGGTGCCTTTATTCTAGATAATAACCTTAAAAAGGAAGGGGGGGGAGGAGGTTGGGGTCTATCTGGCATCTCCAGGAGCGATGGATGGGTTTGGGAGGGGGCACCAAAAACGGATAAATTTACTCTGATCCGGACACCACGTATGACCCCCCCCCCATCCCCTTGGGAGTCTTGACATCAAACTGAAACCGGCTTCAGAGCTGTTTAACTGTCATGGCTCCCAAAGCAAGGAACTCTGGGAGCCGTAGTTCTGCGACGAGGTTGTGGAATTTTGCCCCAAAACCTCAGCTCCTGGGATTCTCGGGTGGGACCGTGACAGTTAACTCAAGTTTAAGGACATACTTTAGATGGTCTGGAGATCTTTGTAGAGAGATGACCTGGCTTGTGACCTGAGTGGGGTGCGGCTCAAGGCAGCCAAGGAGCGAGTTGCAAATGGTCTTACCCGACGGGGTCAGCCTGCGATCCTGGCGCTTGCTGGACCATTCCCCGGATCTAAGTCCATCCTAGGTTGGCCCTCTGGTGCAGGGAACTCTGGTTGGGCGCATCCATCTTTACGTTTTTCTGTGTAGGCTGATGATTTGGTGATGAGTGGGCAGACGTACGGTGTTGTCCTGGAGATGGAAGCAGACAGGCATTTGGTGGACAGGTAGACAAAGGGAGCACCCAGAATTAGACTGCAATTGCTAGACTGGAAAATGAGGACACACTAAAGGTGTGTCTTAGAGGTTAAGACGCTGAGCTGCAGACCAGAAGGTCGGTAGTTCAGCAGTGTCAAGACCCGAGTGTGCCGCATGACGGAGTGAGCGCCCGTCTCTAGTTCGAGCTCCTGCCAACCTAGCCGTTCGAAAGCAAGAAATTGCAAGTAGATAAATAGGTACCGCTTCGGAGTGAAGGTGGTAGCGTTCCGTGCGCCTCTGCGTTTAGTCATGACCACAGAGAAGTCTTCGGACAGCGCTGGCTCTTCGGCTTGGAAACGGAGACGAGCACCGTCCCCTGGAGTCAGATTCGACTGGCTTTTGAGCAAGGGAAACCTTTACCTTTAAGGAAGTACCTTCCCCCTACACACCTAGGGCTCTGTTAATCTGTGGAACTCACCACCACAGAATGTGGTGGTAGCCATAGTTTCTTTTTTTCCCAACAGGAATGATCGATACGTAAAGCTATTGTGACTACTAGCCATGATAGCCACAAAGGGAGCCTCCGTTTTCAGGAGCACGACCCCTCTCCTTGCTTCTTGCCACAGCTAGAAAAAAGAACATGGAAGCAGACAGGCTTGGCAACTTCCATCTGTGTAGGTTTCCTGGGGTGGCCTCCGGTGGCTGTTGGAGGGAATGTGTGGGCGCAGCGGTTAATTTCAGCACTTCGCACCTGCCTCGGACTAGCTGTGGCTGCTTATTGGCACTCGGCACATGCTCAGGAACACTCAATGTGTTCCATGACGGGTGCAGGCACTCGAAGCGCAGGTCGGGATGCCCGCCTGGTCTGAAATAGCGTGGAGGCAGGTGGTTAAAAGGGCAAGAAGGGCATGAACCTGTATGGAGAAATGAACAGCAGGGGGTGGAGAGAATGTGGGGTTCGGAACAGACGGCGTAGGGATAGAAGTGTCATGAGGTGCTGTGTGAATTTCAGAGCAGAGGGACCCCCCCCCGGCCTGTGCTTATCAGCTAGCAGCATGCTAAGCTATTAATTTGCATTGCAAATCCCTTCCCAGCCCAAATCCAGAAAAACACACGTTCTGCAGGGCTTTGGTAATCGAGGCTGAGAGGGCTAGCACCACCAAGTCTCCCCCTCCCCCTCCGGGGAAAAAAATGCGTTCCATCTGATGCCCGGGTTTTCTTGTCCTCCGTGCCCCCAGAGCTGGAGTTGATTCGCATAGGAAGGGAACAGTCCTTGATGGTTGTGGATATATTGCATTGAGGGGTGAAGGCGGTGTTTTAGATGTTCCTCACGGCCTCTTGAGAGCCAGCTTGGTGTCGTGGTCGGGAGCGTGGACTCCAATCTGGGAGAACCGGGTTTGATTCCCCACTCCTCCACATGCAGCTGCTGGTGTGACCTTGGGTCAGTCACAAGTTCAAGTTCTCTCAGAGCTGTTCTCTCAAGGGCAGTTCTCTGGAGAGCTCTCTCAGCATCACCTCCCTCACAGGGTGTCTGTTGTGGGGAGGGGAAGGGAAAGGAGATTGTAAGCGGCTCTGAGACTCCTTTAGGTAGTGAAGGGCGGGGTATGAATCCAACTTCCTCTTCTTCTCTTGACAATCTGGATACAGCCTCCAGAGGGCCCAGTGGGAGGTTATAGACGCATAGGTGCCATCAGGTCACAACCAAAGGTGACCCCAGTGAGGGGCTTTCAAGGCACATGAAAAACAGAGGCGGTTTGCCATCGCCTTCCTCTGCAAAGTCTTCCTTAGTGGTCAACCATCCAAGAACCACCCCAGCTTAGCTTCCGAGATCTAACAAGTTAGGGCTCCAGCACACTGCCTTCCCTCCAAGAGGTTATACGGGAGGGCCGCTTCTCTGCTTCTCCCTTTAGGAAAAAGAGGAGGGGGAAAGTATTGACACACCCGTTGTGTTTTCTTCTGTTTCCCTA